TTTTTTGCTCAAAATTTTCATTTGCAGAGGTTTATTAAAAACATCACAGCTCTTGAACCGTTTGCAATAAGTAAATAATTTTTCTTGCATTTGATAACCAAAGGYTCGAAGAGTTTCCTAAAATTTTCAAAATTGTCAACTGTCAAATTGCAAAGCTTATATGATTTTTTGAAAATGATATGTAACAAACAGCTATAACTCAGTTTTTTCAAATAAAATGACCCCATTTTCTCAACGGCAATCGAAAGTACATCGATTTGTACTAATGGAAGCCACTCAAATCAGTTCACCATCGAGTTTTGGACTGTTTGAAAATGGTAAACATATCGAACATCTGTATTAATTATAAGTATATCTTATTGTATTTTTCCAAAGCCTACGTGATTAACTATAAAAATAAAAACATTAACATGTTTTTTGTTGATAAAAGTCCTTCTACAAATTGATGTAGTTTTGATTGCCGTTGAGAAAATAGAGTCATTTCATTTGAAAAAACTGAGTTAAAGCTGTTTGTTAATTATTATTTTCAAAAAATCATACTAGCCTTGCAATTTGACAGTCAACAATTTTGAAAATTCTAGAAAACTTTTCGAACCTTTGGTTTTCGAATGCAACAAAAAATATTCACTTATCGCAAAGGGTTCAAGAGCTGTGATGTTTTGAATGAACCCCTGCATGTAAAAATTTTGACCAAAAAATTGACATATGTCAAAAACTATGACAGTTAAGTACTAACAACTAGGTACATTTTACTTAGTTTAAAGAGGAGATTTCAAAAATGCAATAAAAATAAGTGGGTACCATTTAAAATTTCAAAGTTGTCGCCAATTTCTCGTAGTTTCGGAAGTTCAGCCATTTTGAAAATAATTTAGTTGAACTCAGACTGGTTGATTTGGGTTGTGTACAAAATTTCAAATTCCTATCTGCATTAGAAGTAAAAAAGTTTCTAATGTAGGCCCTAAAAGAATCACCTTGTATAGTAATGTTGTTGAGCTAATTTGGTTTGTTGTATCCTTAGCTCGCATCGGCGGACGACATCTCCAGAGCTTGACCCCCGACCAGCGCGCCTCCTGTGTCCACACCCTCGCCGACCTCCTCGTCTCCAAACAATCGGAAATCCTGGACGCCAACGCCAAAGATTTATCCGAAGCGACGAAATCCGGTTTGGCGAAACCCCTTCTTTCCCGTTTATCCCTAACTCCCGCCAAACTCCGCAACTTATCGGTGGGTCTCAAGCAGATCGCTGATTCCAGCCACAACAACGTGGGGCGCGTCCTCAGAAGGACGAAACTCGCCGATGGTTTAGACCTCACGCAGATTACGGTCCCCATTGGCGTCCTGCTTGTCATCTTCGAGTCGCGACCCGATTCTCTGCCCCAAGTGGCCGCCTTGGCCATCGCCTCCGCCAATGGATTGCTGCTCAAGGGCGGAAAGGAAGCGGCACACAGCAACAAGGCGCTCATGGAACTCGTTAAGGAAGCGCTCGGCACCGTGGGGGCCACCAATGCTATTTCTCTAGTGAGTTTACTACACGACTTCTTAAAAATTAGACGAGTTTCAACTACCTAACGCCGGATGTGACTGTATTTTCCATCGCAAGGCGAGTTTTTACGCCGGGAAATGACGCTTTTTGCTCACCTTTGGGTTCAAAAGACCCAGAAAAGTGCATAACTTTTTGTAAATTTTTCCATGGATGATTATTTTGGTTTAAAGCAGAGACACTGGCCAGGGGCGTGGCAGCGCAGTGGCATTAAAAAAACATTTTTTTTAAATTTTACCACTAGGTCACTAAAGAACTTTTTCAACTCGCTGGGACACCCTGTATAAGAAAATACTTTTTTCAAACAAGCTTTTATTTGAAAAATATCTTAAAATGTTCTTCACTGATAAAAAAACTATTTTTTTTTAAACATTAATTCCAATAAGTATAAAAAGTAATAAAAGGGTATAAGCGCATTAGAGCCGTAAAATTGAATTTTTTGACTTTTCTATGATGCCACCTGAATTTCAAAAATTTTGAAATTAGTGAAAAGGACATTTTTTGAACTTCAATTCATTGTAAATTAACAGAAAAGTGCATAATTGAGACGAGTTTAAAAAATTCGAATTTTTTGAGTTTTTGAAGGTTGAGAAAGTTGTGAAAACGCTTGAAATATGGACAATTTTGGTTCAGATATATTGTAAATGGCTAATGTGTTAAACCATTTGCATCGAAAATGTTCCGAGGAACTGATTAGTGTCGAGAAAACTGCAAAATTCTTAATATTTTAGAAGTTATAAGTAAAGTATGGATTTTGACTATTTCTCTTTTTTTTCTATTTTTAACGATTTTTTCAATAACAATTATTTACAAATCAATGATCTTTTTTTAGAGATAGGAAATTTTTATAGATTTTCCAACAGTAACCAACACAAAATGGTTATTGAAATTGTTCCGGAGTCATTTACAGTAGACCGCTGTGGAGACCGAAAATTGACCAAAATA